TAAAAAGAGGAAAATCCAGTATGCAAAGACAAGACTATGATAGTACAATAATGAATTCAAGAAAAAAACACACAAATTAAATGTAATGGCAGTATTCAGAAAAAATATAAATAGAAATTGTAAGTAATGATCCTTTCTATTATATAGGCTATGATTTAATTTTCTTAATTTCATATTACTAATCAAATCTTATAGAAAGCGGAAAATCTAGCATGCAAAGTCAAGACCACGATAGTACAATAACGAATTCAAGAAAGAAGCACACAAATCAAACACAATAGCAATATTTAGGAAAAATAGAAATAGAAATTGTAAATAACAATCCTTTCTATTATATAGGCTATGATTTAACTTTCTTAATTTCATATTACTAATCAAATCTTATAGAAAGCAGAAAATTCAGTATGCAAAGGCAAGTCCATGACAGTACAATGATGAATTCAAGAAAAAAGCACACAATCGAATGTAATAGCAGCATTCAGGAAAAATAGGAATAGAAATTGTAAGTAACAATCCTTTTTATTATATAGTAATCAAACCTTATAGAAAGTGGAAAACCAGGTTAAATCCAGTGTGCAAAGGCAAGACCACAACAGTATAATAATAAATTAAAAAAAGAAATACACAAATCAAATGCAATAGCAGCATTCAGAAAAAATAGAAATAGAAATTGTAAGTAATGATCTTTTCTATTATATAAGCTATAATTTAACTTCTTAATTTTGTATTACTAATTAAACCTTATAAAAAGTGGAAAACCAGGTTAAATCCAGTGTGCAATAGCAAGAACCACAATAATTTCAACAAAGAAGCACACAAATCGAATATATGGCGTATTTAAAAAAAATAGTAATTCGTATTACTAATCAAACCTTATGTTAAAGCTCATACCCGGATAACTCTTTACCCGAAAGGGTATAACCTATAATAAAATCTAATAACCGGTTTTGTATCCTATTGAAGTAAAAGGATAACGGTTATATCTCCGGATATCATGTGATCAGCTGATCGACGTAGATTATTGGCCGGATTAATTAAAAATACATTTAAATACGTATTTCAATAATGCCATATTTCACTGACATTCATCTCAACAACAGGCTTATTTTTATAGACAATTAATTTACAAACAAGCTTATTTTGTAGACGTATATTTCACCAAAGCGCATTTTATAGACAAAGTATTTTAGTTATTATCATTATGGTTTAGAATTAGAGCTAAGGTTAGTCCAGTTTAAAAAATATCTTACCGGTAAAATTAATTATTAGCAAAATACTGTCTATAAAATGAACTTGTCTGTAAATTAATTGTCTATAAAACAAGCTTGTTGGTGAAATAAATCGATTAAATGTAATGTTTTTCATTGAAATAATACGGATCCATGTATTTGAAATTAAAATTCTAAAGCAAAAGCAATTAGTAAAGAATAAATATGAAAAAAAGTAAAAAAAAAAAAAAAAAAGAAATTGTACTTAGCATATATTATTTCATTAACAAGTTGGGCTGTGTAATTATTTATATGTAAAAAATAGTATTATTACTATATAATAATAATACTATAAATATTTATGGCTATCAAAAACTTAAATTAGTAACTTATTGTTATATATACATTGTGTATATATCAAATTAAGATATATATTACTATTTTACCCTATATTACTTTTAAGTTAACCGGATATTCTAATTAATAACCCGTTAGTCAATTTATAATCCGGTTATCCAGATAATCTAACAGTTAACTGGATAACATACCTTAGAGTACAACTACTACCTTATGTATGTTTGTTATATTGAAATTTTCTATACATGTCACGGGATATTCTGTGACATGTTACACAGGATATCTCGTGACATGTTATACAAATATTCTGTGACATGTTACATGAAAAATCCCGTAACATGTTACACAGATATCATGATATATTATACAGGATATCTCGTGACATGTCACACAAATATTCTGTGACATGTTATATGGAAAATCCTGTGACATGTTACACAGATATCCTGTGACAAGTTACACAGAAAATCGCGAAATCTATGGACAGTTCTTAGGGACAGTAGAGACAGTGCAAAGCCACATGATCTACAAAATTTAAAAATTCACGACTTTGAGCAAAGATACCTTGACACTTTCTAAATAAATTTGATGCAATTTTTATTTTATTTTAATAGTATAGCTCAGCAGAATCAAAATAAAAAAAAAATTCATTGAATTTTGTTAAAAAGTTGATGAGATATCTTTGCTCAAAGTTTTGAAAATATCTAAAATGCCTATCAAAATAATGGCTGTTGCAAAATTTTTGTAACTTTGAGCGAGATTATCTTGGCAACCACCTAACTAAATTCAATAAAATTTTTTTTATTTGATTATATAGATTTCTCGAATCAGAATAAAAAAAATTATCAAATTTAGTTGAGTAGTTATTAAGATATCTTGAAACTTTATCAAATAACAACCACAGGTGAGAATATCATAGCAACCATCCAACTAAATTTGATAAATTTTTTTATTTTAATCATACAAATCTGTAGAATAAAAATAAAAAAATTTATCGAATTTAGTTGCTGAGATATTTTTGCTTAAAGTTTTGAAACATTTAAACACCTTCGATAAGGTTTTTATTAAATTTTGGGTGAAGATATCTTGATAATCACCAAATTAAATTCAATAAATATTTTTTATTTTGATTTTATAGATCTGTAGAATCGAAATAAAAATTTTGCTGAGTTTGGTTAGTTAGTTGCCAAGATATCTTCACGAAAACACTTAAAACATCTATCAAAATAGCGATAGTGGCAAAATTTTTATAAACTTTAAGCAATGATATTTTGACAACTACCCACTAAATTTGATAATTTTTTTTTTTTTATATTGATTCTACAAACCTATAGAATCAAAATAAATTTTTTTATTAAATTTAGTTTGGTGGTCATCGAGATATTATTACTCAAATTTCTGAAAAATTAACTTTTGCTGACTGTCTTTAACAAACGATCACGTGACTTTTCACTGTCCCTAAGAACTGTCCATAGATTTCGCGCAGAAAATCCCGTAATGTGTCATGCAAATATCCCGTGACATGTTACACGAGAAATCCCGTGACGTGTCATGCGGATATCCCGTGACATGTTACACGAGAAATCCCGTGACATGTTACATGGAAATCCCGTGACATGTTATACAAAAACAAGGCCCATTTCATTATGATCTTATTTCATTATGATCTGCCACAATAATTATATATATAAATATACATTATAACAGTTATACAAATAGTTATTTATTAACTATAGTATTAATAATGTATTTTTTTAAAAAATATTAATTCTTTTTAAAATAAATATATATATAAATACAATTAATGTTGTCAATAAATGTAAACTATTCATGTTCATGAACATATAAAGATATATTCACGTTCATGTCCAAACTATAGACATTAGCTGTCCATGGACTGTTCATGTCCGCTTCCATGTACAGTACATTACTAAATACAGTTTTTATAAGAGATGCTAAATTACGTATATATGTTTTTTGGTTTAGTTTGTTGTACAGTATGTTTGTTTTTTTCTATCGCCATTTATTTATTTATTTATTTATTATTTATTCATTCTGGTAATCTATTATTAACGATCGTAAAAAGAAATTTTAACAATGACGGGCATCAATATGCCACCTACCGTTACTGGAAATCATGTGATCGAAAGTGACAATAGGCTCTTTCTATTAGCTTTGGACGCGTAGGCTGTACCTTACATTTCTAACATTTGAAAATTTATAGTCAAACAGCAAATTGCAATTGTTGTTTCGATTACTAATACTAGTAACTACTACTTGTAAAATGCCAATTTTTAGTCTATCTTATGCAATTATTTTCTCAGTGACCCAGGTCGTAATTAAATAGAGTTAATCCTCTGTGACATAAAACTTTGAGACGATTTGATCGCTAATTGTTAAGAAAATCGTTGCATACGATAATCAAGTTTTAACTAAAAATCGACATCATCTTATACAACGATTTTCTCGAAAAACTAGCAATCCAAATCGGCACAAAAAATTTTACATTATAGAAGGAGGTCAATCTTTTTCCGGAAAATTCCAATATAATTTGGATTACTGGTTGCAGAGAAAGTCATGAATACGTTCATTGAAAAGATTACACATTGTAATATCGATTATAACCGATGATTAAAATCCATTCGTTAGTCGATTATAATCTATAATGCTGATAATCGATTACCAAAATCTTCATCGATTATAATTTCGTGACTATGAACGCAACTTTCTAGAAATATAGCATTACTCGGGTTAGAAATCATTATCACCTGATCAACACGTGTTATCAATTGTCTATATCGATATGACGCGGTTTTTTGCCTAATACACACATGTATTTATATATTTTTACAAGATTGTTATATGTACATATTTCAACATATTAATTATTACTCTCCTTAAAACGGCACTAAACTTAAGTCGATCGATCGCTACGTACATAAAAGTTCGATATCTCCTTATGAGCTGGCATATGTTTCCCTCTGAATTCTCATTAAGTTGTTTGTAAATGATAAAAAAAAATAACCTATCCTTTTTTTTTTTATAACGAACAATATTAGTAAAAAAAAAAAAAAAGAAAAAAAAACTTTCAATATTAGTACGAAGAATGATGGGTGGATATGTTAAAAATTTTGGAATACAATAAATTCGATTATAAAAAAAATTTGGGTGGATAATTGACGACAACGAAGAAAAAAAGTGTTTGTGAATGTGTGGAATTTACGACAAAACGGAGGTTTATTGTTAAAGTTTATATGAAATGTCATAAAAAGAAATTCTTAGAAAAAGGTGTGGGAGGATAAGAGAAGACGAAGATGCTTAAAGGTTGAAATGATTAAAAAGAAAATTCGGTTTAATCATATAGGATGTTACATAAATGCATAAAATGAGTATGTCCAAACACGAAGGTATAGTGCCGAAATGCTCGCTCAAACGTTAGTGGTATAACCTTGTTCCTCTTTCATTATCCATCAAAGAGAATGAACTCAAAGAGGATGATACGGGTGTCAAGGTTGTATGAGTAAAATATTGTTCATGCCATTGCGGTTCATCAGGTGTTGGTAGGGTTTGACGTGTTGTAGTGGAAAACTCCTGATTTGCGCATTGTCTTGACATAGTTGTAATTGAACTATTACCAGATGATATTCGAGATTGTCCACTTATCTCCGAGTCATCGCAATAGATCGATGCTGAAGAATGAGTAGAAGAACGAGATCTGTTTTTCGAGCTCGATTGCTCATCATAATCTTGCATGAATGAAGATTGTGCAAAAGAATAATCTTGTAAATATATTCTTTCGTTAGAATCAATGATAACATCTCTGTGTGTACTATTATTATCTTTATGCTCATCAATACCATGATATATTTGATTATCTTCAATCATGTTTGAGACAGAATATATCGAGTTAACCATACTACAACACGGATTTGCGTTCTTATTATCGGACACCTTATCGAAGTCCGAAGATGTAATACCTAGTCCACCATCGAGCCCATAATTTTCGAATCTAGCGAGGCGCCTCTTTAAATTTGCCACTTCTTCTTTTAATAACCTATTCTCACTTTGATATTCTGCATATGCTTTCTCGTACATTTCCACTTTGCTTTCTAAACTACGAAGGTAATTCTCTCGGCGTTCACGAAAAGCACGCTGATTCGTTAGATTTTGTTTATGTTTTTTGTTTGATGGCATGGTAGCTAGACGCTTGCGTCCACGCCTATTAGGTACGGGTTTACCAGTTGGACCTGCAGGCACTGTTTGTTGTTGTTGGCAAGGAATGACGGGAAAGGGGGCTGGATTTATCATGAAATCCGGTGTAGATGGTGGCCAATTTGATATTAGCATCTCGGAATGCTTTGTTGGAACAGATGGTCTTGGAATTGGTAATGGTAATCTTAACGTTTGAGAAATCGAAGAAAATGCATTCAATTTCAGCGGTTGCGGTTGGGACATTTCATAAAAAAAGAGAGGTAACGAAAATGAGCGAGGAAGGATTAAGCGCAAAGAGAAAACCGGGCATTCTTTTTAAATAATTGGGATGATGCACAAATCGACAAGTGCTTCATTATCGTCCAACAATCTAACGATTCATTAACACCTGCTCGTTGTGTATTAATATATACAAGATCTGCATTATATTACAATTACATTGCACTTTCTTTCTCTTTTTTTTTTTTTTTTTGTATACTATTTCCAAAACAATGCTCTTTGTTTTTGGATAAAAGCTATAGTCTTAAAAAAGTAGAAGATCCTTTGAACTGTTTATTAATAGACATAAAAAGTGTAAATAAACAAACGATAACAATGGTTGGTAAATGGTGAATAATGATTCAACACTTTTTTTATCCGACTTGACTAACGTGGAAAAAATTAGCCCTATGATTGGTCTCTTCAAATCATGTTAAACTCATCAACTTTTATTGGCTCATTCCATTATATTTAGCCTTTTTTGTAAATCTGAAATGCTTACTAAATGGAGAAATCAACAATGCAATTGTCTTTTTTACCGTTATAATCAGCTATTTGTGTTTGATAAAGACAAATAAAATATATAATAATACAATAAAATGAACAAACTCTATCATAAACTTTTCTTTAGACACGTTCTCAAGTCAATTCTTGTGGTCATCTTCGCAAGGTTTGTATCACAAAAAAAAAAAAAAAAAAGTCTAAATAATTAGATTATTTAAGGTTGAGATTATCATGCAATCTCTCTTTAATCTCTTACATATTAGATAACTGTGCATACAAAAATTCCAAATTCTCCAAAAATTTATTGCATGTCAATATACTCAAACTTCATTCGTGTAAAAATTGCAATTATTGCAATTGTTTATTGATTATATTATATGACCGAAAAATTCGGTTTTTTATTACGTTATTAGGTTTATGTCCGGAAAATTACTTTCATATCAGTAACACCATTGAATTTGAGACACACATGTATCAATGAAATCTGCATTTATTCTTTGAAGTTATGTATGGAACGCGTTAACACATGTAGGATTGTGATCTAAACCATGTTTGTAGTTTGAATAAACGGTAATTACAACACACCCGAAGGTTCAAGGTTTGTTGACGATCTAGCATAATTAATTATTCCGGTGTTACCCAATATCCCATAAAAATGGTGAATGAAGTGACAATAGAGTTGCGGTTATACCGGTATATAAAAAATGGTATATACCCGATCACTATACCAAGATCATGGGGTATTTGGTAAAATTACCTCGTGTACAAGTGGAAGCTTCGTTTTCGCTAATACCAGGTATAATATTGTATCATTATGCTCACAGCTTAATATGGTTCGGAAACTTTCGGAACTATTTCAACGGAAACTTTCGGAATTGCCTATGGCCTCTTCGTATGTGCATGGATAAAGCAATTTAATTGGCTAACCTATTTCTATTATTGTTACCTTTGTGTATAATCCCATACGTATGGTACTGGTATATATTATACCAGCAGTATAATACAGTATAATATAAATTGAAATTAGATTAGTTGATGACTTTTTAGTTTTGTAGACCTTTAAATATCGCAGTGATTAGACACTAATAATTAAATCTATTGTATGACAGGATAAAACCTGGATTTTTTAGATTACCAATCTTACGTTCAGATTTTATTCTGTTGTACGTACAGTACGTACTGCTATTAGAAAATCAGGTACTGTTAAACGTTCGGGAAACGATAATCATCTAATCTAAATTTAGGTGATAAACACAAATTTGGTTATAATATACGTTCTATAATATTAGATTTTTTACTACGCTTCGAACAATTATTGTCGTGGCGAAGCTGAAAACGGCTAAAGCTGTACCGTACTTGCGCGTAATAACGCCCTCCTGCGCTTTCTTTTGGGTCCCTATGCATTATTTTAAAGCGCGCATGCGCCTTATTTTGAGCAAGAATACGAATTTTTTTTCAAAATCTCGTAACACATGGGCGCTATTATAATAACAAAATTAGCAAGAGTTTTTAAACTCAAACTATTAGAAAACACACATTTTGTCTCTCATCGAGAGGTGTTACAAAATGAAAAACAATTATGGGTATTCTATCCCTCCCTCTTTCGTGATACACCTACTAACAGTGCAAATTTGAGAGTATCAAATGAACAAACTAGCATGATGCTACTTGACGGGTGGGCAAAAAAAAAAACCCCCAGAGTTTGTTTGGAAAAAACCCGCTGATTACCATGTAAACCAAAAACTAGGCTAGCGCTACGTATTCATATTTGAGAAAATTCCTTCGTGACTGTCATCCCGACAGGCCAGTCCAACTTCAAAAACTCTCATCGCCAATTTATCTAAAACAAATAAGATCATCAAATCATAGTATCTAAGCTGACTGCCTAATCAATTGCTAGGGTGGACCGAAAAAACCGACAAAGTCGGGAAAACCCCGTTCTCCTTAAATACCACTAACGATTACTAATCGTAATACTACGTCATTACGTCACAAAATCACATACGAAATCATACGATAAATCACGAAACAAAATTACACGATAAATGCAACCGATCAATTAATATATGCCCGTAATCGATTCGAGACAAAATGCTGGTCAGATACTTTCGTATCGTGCAGCCAAATACGGGTTACGTATCACTTTATAGAAAATGATTTCACAGATAATCATCATTGAAAAGGTTATTTTAAAGACAATTAATTTATAGACAGTTCTTTTCATAGACAGTTCATTTTCAGACTAGAGTGTGCATGCTACCTGACAAATTTCATACCAGGATGCCACCCTGGCATGCCATCATATCAACTCCCAAACAATTCACAAATCCCGAAAATTTTCCGAGAATAGACGTACGCATATATTGATTATATATAAATGCCTTATATCTATTTTCCTTATGGCATGCCCATGACCACCGTGCCACACACTCTATTCCAGACAGTTCATTTCGCAGGAGTTCATTTCATAGACAACCTTTAACAGCAAATAACTCCTGATTTTTCGGACTATTTTGAATGATTTGATTACCAAATGATCTCGATGTGAAGATTCTAACAAGCCAAAAATCGTTAAAACCCAATCATGGTCTCGAGTTTAGATATTTATCTTAGATAAATATTTAAACTGATATCCCATGATTGGGTTTTAGCTATATAGTAATTTATATGCGTCATGTGATTTTTAATTTACAAATTTGTTAGTAATCAATTTAAAAACCACCTGGCTTTAGACGACCTCTATTTTGGGCTTGTTAGAATCGTTACATCGATATCATATTGGTAAAGGAATGAACTGCCTGCGAAATGAACTACTTGTCATTTCTATGAAATGAGGTGTCTATCATTTTCTATAAAGTAACCGTAAATTTTGTTAATTATATCATATGGGGTTGAGTCAATAGAAATCAAGCAAATATTTTTTAATAAATTTTTTAAAAACTTTAAACAAGGATAACTT